CTTTCAAATAGAAAGAAAAAGCATTGCCCATTCTTGCCTAAATACACGAGGTTTTTGGTGGCTTGTCATTTTACTGACAAATTTTCAGTCGTTGAGCATTTCTTTTAAATGAGATAAGTCGTATTTTAAGCCCTATTAGCTAAGATCTTAATTCTCAGTTTATGCCAATGATTGATTAAATCTGCTAGTAGCAAGAATGAGTCACAGGATAAATGCTTGGGGAGGAGAGAAAAGTTTCAAAGATATATTAAGCTTTCTTCACATTTTATCTAGGGCTATCTAAGCTACTCTGAATAATTCTGTGTGACCCTTTTAAAAATCCTACAATCATCCCATCATTTTAATGAATAAATATGTTCCTCCTTGTTTGTATATAAGATCTTCCATGAAATAAGATCTTGTCATTAAGAAATAATAACAAAGTTATTATTTCTCTAGCTTTATATCCTGTTATGACTTTCTTGACTTTTTGTGCTTTGATACCATGTAACTGTCCCTCTTTCTACCTTTATACATATAAACTTCCCACTCCCCATGCCCATGTCTCTCCCCTTCACACACACATCATGTGTGTGCTTGGCCAACTTCTGCTCTTCCTTGAGGAGGAGTTCATGTATCATTACCTTCTCAAAGATTTCCCTGACAGGCTATGCTTACTGCCCCTTCCCTCACACCTCACCCCCAAACCAAAGTACATTCTTCTGTGTTTCAACAGTATGCAGTTATATCTGTATCCTTTCCTTTTGCTTGTATCCCTTCCTTTTATCTATATCTTTTCCCTTACTCTGTAAAGTAATATATTCATACAGTGCTTATAACAGGAACGGGCACTTCGTAAATTCTGTGTAAGTATTAGCTCTTATCATTGCTTTAAAGTTAACTATTTTAGTATCAGTTTCCTCTACTAAAGTGTAAGCTCCTTAGCCTAAAGGACAGTATCTTATTCATTTTCTTTAAACTTAGTTATTGGAGTATAGTTGGTGATCAAGAAATGTTCCTTGAAATTTAAGATGGTAAGAAACTATTATTTATTGAGCCCTGTGTCAGGCAAGATTTCTATAACATTCCCTCAGAGATGTTCCTGCTTTAATCCCTGAAACCTGTAAATAGGATTTGATGTTTTGATTAGGCTGTTTCATATGGTCAGTTGATCATAAAACAGGGAAGATTATCTAACTTCAGCCAACTTTTAAAAGCAGACACCTCCTTCAGGTTGGTGGCAGAAGGGGAAGTTAAAGAGAGAGGAAGAAAAGCAAGAGGAGGATCTGACACACTGTGGCTGACTCTGAGGATGGAACGGGCTGCATGTAAGAAACAGAAAGAGGCCTCTGAGAGCTGAAAGTGACTCCCGGTCTACCACCAGCAAGGAATGGAGACCTCAGTTCTGCGACTGCAACTTGAATGAGCTTCCAAGAGCTTCCAGCCAAGAGCCCAGCCTGACTGACACCTTGCTTTTTGTCTCTGGAGCATAGAACCCAGCTAAGCCCATGTGGACTTCTGACCTTACAGGACTGTGAGATAATAAATGGGTGTTATCATAAGGTGTTACGTATGTGGTAATTTCTTAGGCATCAGTAGAAAATTAACTACATGTCAATTTTATGCAAGGCTCTTTACAGACATAGTGAGAATGAATCTCACTAAAACCTCTTCATTCTGCCTAATGTTCTATAAATAACTTAATTTCAACTTTGACACCTGACCAGTAGGGAACTCTAGATCAGTCATTCTTGGTGGTCTTGAACCTCCACCAGGGTGTGTGTCAGGTTTCTGAAATCAGACTACCCGGTGCTACTGTTCACCAGGCATGTTTTCACACCAGTTAATGCTTGAACATCTATCCTAGCCTGCATGATCTCTTCAGGTGGCTTTCTCATATTCAAGGTCTAGCTTGGGGCAAATTCACCATGAAACTCACAGTATTGTGAAACTTACTTGAATGGATCCCTTCCAAGGCCCTATACTTAATTGAGTATTTGTAATTTTATATCCCTTTGCTTAAAGAGGAATCCCTAAATTGTATAAACGTCAGGCACCACAAAACCTAGACACTCCCTCAGCTCAGAAATTTCCTGTGTAACTAATCAAATTAATCCCTTCTTCCCTACGCCACATTCCCCTACCTGTCTGTAACTTCAGACATAGACTTTTGCTTCCTCTCTTGCCCTAATTTTTTCTTCACTACACTTAGTAATATCTGAATTTATTTATTCATTTAAAATGTGTTCACTTTCTGCCCCTCCCTCTCCACAGAATGTAAGTTTACTGAAGGCAGGCACTTCCTTTGTTTTACTCATTCCTGTATGCCCAGAACCTGGAACAATGATTAAGAATAATAGGTGTTAACAGTATGCATGGACTGATCAACCTCAGGTCTACCCAACTGCCACATTCCAGCTGTCTTAGTTCCCTTGGGCTGCTATAACAAAACACCATAAACTCAGCAGCTTTATAAAAACAAACATTAATTTCTCACAGTCCTAGAAGCTGGGACGTCTTAAGATCAAGGCACAAACAGATTCAGTGTCTACTAAGAGCTCGCTTCCTGGTTCACAGATGGTAGACTATTTATTCACTGTGTCCTCACATGGTGGAAGGGGCCAGGAAGCTCTATGTGACCTCTTTTATAAGGGCGCTAATGTGACCTAACTACCTCCCCCAAAGACTCTACCTCCTAATATCATCACCTTGGGGATTAGGATTTCAACATATAAATTTTGAGGGGACACAAACATTCAGACCATAGCAGTATGAACCAAGTCGGTGGCACACTCATGTTTGGCTAGTGGGAGTTCCAGGTCTAGGTTCCAGCCTCTCTGGTGCAGCATTCGGCCATTTACTCTGAGATCTTGTCACATCCTAAGGACACTGCCAGGGATCAGAGAGCAAATCCTCACTGTTCTAGAGACCCACTGATTTCTTTCTCATCCTTTCAGCCTAGGTATCACTTTTTATTCTCAGTGACATCCTTCTTTCCCATGGCAGTGTCCAAAAATGTCTTGGGAGAATCCCTTCGCTTGGTTCCCCCTTCTCCACCCTAAATATAAATAATATTACATGACATTAGGGAACATTTTTTCAAGTGAGAATAAAAGTCAACTTAGAAAATGTTCCTGTTTGTTTCGATCTATAATACCATGCAGATGTAGCTTCAATAAATTCTTAGCCACCTAGTATACTACTTCCAACCAGATTACTAGCTCTAAACTTTTACTAAATAGAAATTTGGGGGTGGTCATTTCAAGCTAGGCAGGAAAGTGTTTTGAAAGCAACTTCTGCTTTCTTCTCTACCACAAACATCCCCTGAGGCAAGGAAGTGGAGTTACTATCAGCTTAAATGAGGGAAGGAAAAGAGGCAAACACAAGAAAACAAAAATGTCAATTTTTTTTCTGACATAATTATTCATTTACTCTTAAAATAGCCATATGAAGCTGATATTATTCCCACTTGTCAAAACTGAGCATAGCCTTTACCAGTGATGCTGTGTCTGTCACCACTGCACATGTTTATTGTCAATAAAATCCTACTCCGTCTGTTTTTCCACTCTGGCCCCTGGAGGAATTTAGAAGCTTTCCTCAGGATTTGAGGTGAAGGACATTTGAATGAGGCCCTCAACTAAATGCTAGTGTTCCAAGAGGGAGCTCATGCTCCTAAACTCTCCTTCCAGACGCTGGAGCAGCCTTTAGTAGTTTTCGTAATTTTAGTGCCACGGAAGATGACTCTTAGTTGCGAAGTTCCCTTTGTGTTTTCTCCCAGAGGTTACAGACGCTTTCATAGAAGCTGGCCTTCCAATTGCCTGCCTTGACAGCCTGAGCTGGGTGTGCCTTCACTAAATTAATTATAATTATTGTTATACATGGTAAAGAAAGTCAGGTAGTGTTTTCCAAAGTATAGGATGTGTAGACTAATGGTACGTGAGGTAATTTTATTTAACTTATATTTTTCAAATTGAAGTAGAATTATCTTACACTATTATATTAGTTTCATGTGTATAACATAGTGATTCAATATTTTTATATGTTATGAAATGATTACTCCAACAAGTCTAGTTACCATCAGTCACTGTACAAAGTTATTACAACTGTATTGACTATATTCCCTATGGTGTACATTACATCTTCCTAACTTATTTATTTTATAATTGGAAGTTTGCACCTCTTAATCCCCTTCACCTATTTTGCCCCTCCTCCCCTCTGGCAACCACCAATTTGTTCTACATGAGGTAATTTTAGATGGATGGCACATTTAAATACCAGTGACACTTAGCAAAAAAGCTATTCTCTTTTTAATATCCTTGAATTTTCCTGATTATATTAAGTAGAAAAATATCATGTTGATGCTAATATTCTAACTCTTAACCAATCTTTCTTTTCTAACAGATTGAGAGATGGCCTTGGGCTCAGATCCTGGACAGGCAACCTAATTAGAATAACATTGTCTTGTTTTCATTTTAAGGTCTTTTCCTTATGTTGATTGGAAATGTTTTCTACTTACAAAAGTGACAATGTTTCCTTTTAAAATAAATTTACTTGAATAGTTCTTTTAAAGTTTGAAGAAAATATTAATAATAGTATTTGTGGCTCACTAGATCAGGCAAAAATCATGATACAGTTTGGGAAACACTAAATTAAGCAATTCATATGAATGACCATGTGATGTTCTGATACATCATATGCATCAGAGGCAAGTTATCATCTCTTTAGCACTATGCCTGTACTTTGGATAGTTGCCAGACATTCATCGGATTCCCTATTTGTGGGGAAAGAGAAGTTGTATAGGAATAACAACCACAAGTAACTTTATGAGGGTTAAATTCATGGGATGAAGCCAGATGTGGCAGAGAATTTACCCTGAAGAGTTAACAGCAAGCTGACTTTCAGAGTAGTGGAAGGAACCATTGGGTATGGGAAGTGAGGCTCACTTTGTAACTCAGAGGCAAGGCAAAGGGTGAGATCTAGAAATCAGGATTGGCCTAAAAGTGTAGACTGAAGCAACTTACAGTGTGGTTCAGTGATGGTTGCAGTCAACAGCCTAGGTGGGACTGAATATCTTACAATGCTAGCAGACTGTAAACTTTTCTTCAGGTTCCTAAAAGCAACATTGGAAAGAAATTATTGGAAAAGAGCGTAGCCCAGGTGTACAATATAGGAGATAAGATCAAACTGCCTTCTTGACTATTCTATCCTCAAGTGTATAAATGTAAATTAGAATCCTAGGAGAACTTAAATATATGACTTAAAACTACTTATCGATATATTATGTACACTTTTGTATCAAAATATATTTCTAATTGCATAATAAAAGTTAACTGGGTAAAAGGTTTACTGAACAGAGAATTGGTTCATAGACAATTTTAATATGCTACACTGTAAGAGTGATATATATACCCTCACTATTACTTTATAAAGAATGTAAAGGCTGGCAAAGCAGCAATCTATCAGTTAAGTAAGCAAAGAAATAACTTAGATCCCAAAAGTTCTTAAGTATTTTCCTTATAACAAAGGCTAAGTTTTTTTAAATTGTAAAAATATGTTTTACCAAATGGCAATTTACCAACATTTTATTGAACAAAAGACTAATTTAAAAATTTTTACTTTCTTCGGTTGACTTTAAAATTTTCCTTTTTTGTCTGGTGTTCACATATTGCAATGTAGTCAAATGTATTTTCAATTTTGGATTCAGAAATCAATCAAGCAATCAATCAATCTCCACACTGCATAGGTTGGTACTAAGGCCATACACACAAGCATATATTCTGTGCCTCTATAATTACATACATAGTTATTTTGCTAACAATAAACTTGACTGTAAGCATAGTATCATATTATGCTAGATGATGGTACATCAAAAAAACCAGGAAAAAAAAATCTAAGCTTTGTATGTGTGTGAATATTTAAAATAAATTTATGATTTAATTAAGATGTCTTCAAATTGATGATAATTAATAAGTAAATTAATTGTTGGTAAGAGGTATCTGTAGTATAATCAAGTTTTGGAAAAAAAAGTATACAGATCCTCTTCTGACGACTTCCTGCCTGTAATAACTAAAGACCCCAACATGACAAATGATTTGTTGCAGCAAAGAAAAACATTTAGCAAATTAATAGGTATAGTTTCATTTGCACTTCTATTTTAAGGCTTAATTTGCCTTAAAAGAGCTGAAAATTACCCTCACACCTAAATTTACTTAAAGGCCATTATGAAATTAAAATATTGCATTTCTCCAATTTCTTCTTCTGCGTACATAAATATTTAGTTTCACTCAGCTATTAAGGTAGTAAGAAGTCATTGACTTTGTGTTGTTGTTTTTTAAACAAAAAGTTTGGCCTGTTCCGCAGTTAGCCATAGGTCTTCAGTATCATGAATTCAGTAACATTTAAAAAAAATTCTTAAGGGAACCCTCCTACACTGCTGGTGGGAATGTAGTTTGATGCAGTCACTGTGGAAAACACTATGGAGATTCCTCAAAAAACTAAAAATAGACTTACCATACAATACAGCAATCCCACTCCTGGGCTGGAGGGAACTCAAATTCGAAAAGATATATGCACACCAATGTTCACAGCAGCACTATTTACAATAGTCAAGGCATGAAAACAACCTAAATGTCCATTGACAGATGACTGGATAAAGAAGTTGTGATATATATATGGTATGGAATACTACTCAGCCATTAAAAAGAATACAATAATGCCATTTGCAGCAACATAGATGAACCTGGATATGGTCATTCTAAGTGAAGTAAGCCAGAAAGAGAAAGAAAAATACCATAAGATATCACTTATATGTGGAATCCAAAAAAAAGTAAGACACAAATGAACTTATTTACAAAACTGAAACAGATTCATAGACATAAGAAACAAACTTATGGTTACCAAGGGGGAAAGGGGTCGGAAGGGATAAATTGGAAATTCGAGATATGCAGATACTACTACATATAAAACAGATAAACAAGTTTCTACTGTATAGCACAGGGAACTATATTCAATATCTTGTAGTAACCTATAATGGAAAAGACTATGAAAAGGAATTTATGTATGTATATGTATGACTATAACATTATGTTGTACAGCAGAAATTGATACAACATTGTAAACTGACTACACTTCAGTTAAAAAAAAAGAAAAAAGAAAAAAAAAATCTCCCTAAAAAGGCAAAGCAAGTGGCAGTTTAACAGCACTTCCAATGAGATTAACACAGAACTTCTTGACTCTTAGAGCTGGGGAAGGAAAAGGAACCTCGGTGAAATTTGCATATACTCATAGCCCACGTGGAGTGTCATTTGTTTTGTTTTCCACTGGTAGCTTTTGGAAACTGATATTTAACTAATTAATTGTTTTACTGATGAATTTTACTCCTGAAGTAAGAGCTTGAGTCAGAAATAACCTACTTCCCACCAAACCCTTGCCCAAATCAAAACTTAAGATAACAATCTATATTCCAGGGTACTTTTAAGAGCTACCAAATAGACCATAACATTCTTGGCAAATAGTAAAGATAAGCTGTCAGTTTTTCTAGGTAGATAGAAGAGCTGACAAGGCAATCTTCAAATTCCTTTCTTTTATTCTAAGAGCTCTGAAGTTCTTAAAGTGGATAGGAATTTTGTATTTTAGTGCTACGAGTTCTCCAGCACCTAACACCATCTTATTCAAAGGTCTGATATTATTATTGCTGCATTTTATGCATTTTATAGTCACTTTCTATTCCTACAGTAATTTCAGAGGAAGTATTTTTACTCTCACTTGGGTTCTATTACTAATCCAGTAACTGCTGTTCAGAAAATTCAGTCTCACAGTCAGGTGGTTTCCTAATCACACTTCACTCAATTTTTAAAAAATTTCTCAATATGATAGCTGTAATGTAGTTTACTGGAGAATAAGAGAAGCTTAAATGATTAGTGCTATCTTTCCAGCATCCAGGACAACGAATGACCCACTACAGTTACTTATTTGCTGAAGGAATTCTAATTCTGCTGCTGAGAAAAATTAAGTAAATCAATTAGTTCTTTGGGGACTCAGTCTAAATGATCCCTAAAGTTCCATTCAGTGGTAACCTTTTACGATTTCTTATTTTGGCTCTAAATACTCCAGAAAATAGTGGGTGAAAGCAATGTATTGCTTAGAAAAATATCAATTGGTGGAGATTACAAATAGATGGTTCAAAAGACCTTAGTATTTGTTATAAATCATGTGTGCGTGGTATCATACAAGACAAAGTTTAAAACCCTCTATGATTGTAATACATTAGTTTTTTAACACGTGACCTCAAAAGGTGGTTTTAAAATGTCGTTATCATCATTTTATCACCAGTGCCTAGAACAATGACTGGCTCATAGTAAGTATTCAATAAATACCAGTTAAATCAACTGCGTAATATTAACATTCCTTTTGAACTCTAGCAGCAGCTGGGTCTTTACCCATCCTTAGAAAGCGATGGAGCAGGAACCAGAAATCCCTTAAAAGGTCAGGGCCAGTAACAAGGCTGAGCTAAGCACGGGGCAGTACTGGACAGGCTTAAAGCACTGAAGGAAGGGAAAGAGGACCCAAAATACGCCTGAGAGGGAAAACATACACACACACAGAGCAACAAAAAACAAGCATAAGAGGAACTACGTTTCCACAGTGAAGGCTGATAGAAAGCTACTGCAAGTACCACAGGTCAACCTGTCACTAGGCGGTCACCCTAGACTGAGATCTGAGGTAACTACCACCGAAGCCCTCGCCTACCCAGACCCCACTTTTAAAAGGTTCTCAGTAAGTTCATCCGAGTTCGTTAGCGAGAGAAATCACAAGCGCTTAATGCACGACCTATCTCTCCTCAATTCCATTCAAATAACGCAGCCAATAGGAAAATCCTCCGCCCTGAGCAAAGGACTCCGCAGAGCAGAGACAGCCCTGGAGGCAGGTCTGCCCTGAAGAGCCGCCGCACGGCCTGACTGTGGCCTCCGGAACCCGAGGAGCCCTCAGCCAGGCAGGACAACCTTCCTTCCCCGGCTCCGCCCTTCCAGGTTGGTCCCAGCCCCCGCAGCCCGGGCGGCCTGGACCACACCCGCTTCCCTCCGGTGGCCTGGCCGCCCCCGCCGCAGTTCGCGAGAGCGCTCTTCCTGGGGCGGGCGCACGCCCAGGGCGCATGCGCAGTGTCCAAAGGGCGCCTCCCTGCCCGGATCTCGCGAAGTTACGTTAGATTGGCCGCCGGTGACGGGTGGCCGGGCCGGGGGCGGGAGGGCTTCTGTGGTAGGAAGGGAGGTCCATTCGGCCGGGCGCGCCGCCCCAGTGCTCTGTGGGATACTGGAAGTCTGGAGCGTCTCCTCCCGGTTCCCAGCCCTCCTCTGGCCCGCACTCATAGAAACAGTCACACACCCCCTGCCTCCCCTCTCCTCCTTCTCCGCCTCCCCCTTCCCCCCCTCGCGATAAGAAGACCCGGCGGCAGGAGAGGGGATGAAGATGGCGGACGCGAAGCAGAAGCGGAACGAGCAGCTGAAGCGCTGGATCGGCTCCGAGACGGACCTCGAGCCTCCCGTGGTGAAGCGCCAGAAGACCAAGGTGAAGTTCGACGATGGCGCCGTCTTCCTGGCTGCTTGCTCCAGCGGCGACACGGACGAGGTCCTCAAGCTGCTGCACCGCGGCGCCGACATCAATTACGCCAATGTGGACGGACTCACTGCCCTGCACCAGGTCTGTGCGCCCCAACGCCGGCTCTCCTGACCCTGCGGGTCTTCGTCGGCCTTCCGCCGAGGCCTCCCCTCCGCTCTCGGCCTCCTGAGGCTGGGGGCGGCGGGAGACTCCTTGCTGTGGGGTGAGGGGGGCGGCTTCCCGCGAAGGAGGGAGGGCGAGAACTGGTGGAGGGAGGGCGCTGGGCTTGAGGGCCCCCTCAGACCAGTTGGTGGTGGAGTAAGGGAACCGGGTGATTTCCGGGGCAGGGGTAAAAAGGACTGTGGTCGGCTAAGGCCCCAGGGCCATTTGTGGACGTGTGTCTGGGATTTGGGGTCGAGGTGCGGAGCAGTGGAGTGGGGTTGTGGTTGGGCCCCCAGTGTCAGTAACAGACTTGGAGGACGGGGGCTGCTGAAGAAAACGACTAACAAGGGGCATTAGGGACACTTGGGTAAATGGATGTCTTTGGCTTGCTAGGTGGGCATTGGATTTATTGTAGTTTTTAAGACTTGGTTACAAACGATGATGATAATAATAGTAATCAAGAGCCCTAAGCCGAATGCCCGGAGCAGACGATTTCCTGTTTTCTCCTTTATTACTCTTGGTCACTGGGGAGGAGGGAAAACGGGGTGTAATTAGCCGATTTGCACCGGCTGAAAGGGAGGAGATGGAAGTGGATAGGGTAAGGAAGCGTTCTAAAGGGCTTGCCCACCGCGGGACCGGAACATAATGAAGAATCTCTTACTCCGGGAAGACTTTGCCGCAGTGTCAGAGATCCTTTGGCCCCAGGTCCTGGGGTGTGCATTGGGGTTAGAAAGAGAAGAATAATGCGAGACACTCTTTTTAAAGCCGGTTACCAAGCTCAGATTTTTCTTTTAGGGGTGGGAGAAAGGAAAGCTGGCCACAAACTTTTCTCAAAATGGATGCTTTGTGCATGTTAAAGTTTTATAGTAGTCTGATTGGGATCTCTCAATGTTAGCCAAATAAGGAGAAACTATTGGCAATCCAGAGATAATGTTGCTTTGCCTTTAACAGGCCAAAAGCAACACAAGCACGTAGAGTTCTGCATAAAAAGCAGTTTTTCAGCGATGATAATAGGTGTCAAGACATAAACTCTTTACATTTTCTTAGTGGGCAACTTGAAATTACTAGGAAACGACTTTGTAACAATAGCTTCCCCTTACATTGAGAGGACTTATAAACTAACTCAAAGTTGCTTTGGTTGTATGTGGAAGATAGTAGCTTTATTTGGATTAATACTGTAGCAAAAACTTGTTTGGGAGGTTGAAACTTAAGGCTTTATATTTTATGCATATTACTTTGCTGCCTTTTAAAAAGAGGTGTGTGGTGGCATTTTTCCTTTTTACTGCTTCCTGTTTAGTGAATGATGACCGTTTTAAGTTTTATATAATTGAATTCTCATATCAAACTTGGCTTATAGCCTTTGTTTACAAAGTTGACTGGATGAACTATAATGACTGACAAACTGCAGGACAAATCTGGAATTCAGAATGTGGTACCCAGTAAAAATGTAGCGTGGTTTTAGCTCTTTTCTCTATTAATTTAGAACCTCTAATGTATAACAAACTTTTTAGTTGGCTGAGGTTTATTTTAAGGCATAGCATAACTCTAAAAACATGGTGTTAAGAATGAAAGAAAATGGACATTAGAAATGATCATTTAATTATGTAAGATGAATCTTCTCAGATTTCTTTCAAATTAATTAATTTACATGGTTTAGTATGGAATTGATTCGGAAAGACATTATTGTATGCTTTAGGTCAGGATACAGTTGGATAATGGTTTATATCAGTATGCTTTATTAAAATTCTCATTTAGAAATTTAAAGTTGTTACTGTTGTTGGGGAACCCAATAGTATTGGCCTGGAGGAAGA